GCTTCATGGGGCTTACCCAGAAGCAGAGCCAGCAAATGCTCCGGGGCCTGCAGTGTGACTGATACAGGACGGGAGGAAGGGAGCGGGGAGCGAATGGTGTCACCTACAAGGCTGAATGAGCTGGGAACCCGGGCCTGAAGCGGCTTCCAAGTCCCTTTTTCAGATGGACACAGCTCTCAGCCATCACCGCCGTGAAGAGTTGAAGTCTCTAACAGAAGATCCATATACTTCGCACAGATTTATTCTGAGGGAGAAAGAACTCCGTAACTCACAGACACGATCCACTCTGGTCAGAACCACCTAAGAAGTCAGTCACTTACTTGTTCCTCATCTTCATCACAGAGTATGAAGTCACCACATACACACAAAAGGCAACCGATTTTTAATTATGAGCTCAAGCCTTTTATCTAAGATGTACGTAAACACTATACCATGATAGGAAATTATCGCTGCCTCCCTTCCTTCCAATGCCCTCTTCCCCAAAACGTGCCTCTCCCTAAGACTTCCCCATGTGCCGCCCAGGACTCTATCATGGAGGAGAACACCGCACTCACCCAGGAGAATGTAAGAAAGAATACTGATTACGATCCAAGTGCACGGCGCCAGCCTGGCTTGGGGTCAGTGTGCAAACACTGTACTGAAAACCGCTTTAGCTCGCACTTCGGCAACGACACGAACCTGAGGTGGTGAGTGTAACAGCTACCCTGATCTGAAGATCATGTATTGAAACGTCACTCTGTACCCCCTAAACATGTACTATCTCTATGTGCCAATGGAAAATTTTAAAATATGTTTTTTTAGAAAAGCAGAATTTGTTTAGGTAAATTGGCCAGGTTATACATAGTTCCCAAAATCTGATAAAATACAGTAATTCCAAAACTACTCTAGACCTGCCTGTGTAGAAAATGGAAGGCAACTTATATGCTCACATCACCACAATGACATGCTGATACCATAGTACAATGATTGCAAAAGTAAAAGAATATTATAATACACAAAAGGAGAGAAAAGGTAGAAATATGCAAACACAAAGGCCAAAAGTTAAATCTGTGAAAAAACATGTGGATTGATTTATAGCCTCTAGACTGATCTGCATTAGAGATGATCCCACTTAGACTATATTTACTTTCAACTGGTAATAGGAGACTGCTCTGCTCTGCTCAGATACTTAGCGGAAAAAAAAAAAAAAAAAGGCAGGGGGAAGCAGTGATAAGCTTAGCCAATCGGGGGGAAGCAGTGATGAGCTTGGCCAATCGGGGGGAAGCAGTGATGAGCTTGGCCAATCGGGGGGAAGCAGTGATAAGCTCGGCCAATCGGGGGGAAGCAGTGATAAGCTTAGCCAATCGGGGGGAAGCAGTGATAAGCTTAGCCAATCGGGGGGAAGCAGTGATGAGCTTGGCCAATCGGGGGGAAGCAGTGATAAGCTCGGCCAATCGGGGGGAAGCAGTGATAAGCTTAGCCAATCTGCCTACAGCTGTTTTAATAACTTCCATTTACAGGCGAAACACCTACCGTGCTAGAGCTACAGTAACACATAAGCACCCAGCTAAGAAAGCCTCACAGGTGCTAACTGGCACAGTTACGCCTCAGAATTACACTGACAGTCAGGTAAAAAAAAAAAAAAAAAAGCTTCATACTACTATTGCTATTCCTATCTAGGTCACCATAGAACAGGCTGAGTTTTCAATAGAAAAAGATCCTTATTCTCACCAAAATACTTCACACAGTAATGTAAACACATGCCAGTTGTCTTTTCTGGTTGTTTAAGATTTATTTATTTGTTTGAAAGGCAGAGTTACAGAGAAAGAGAAACGATCTTCCATCCACAGTTCACTCCACAAATGGCCCTAATGACCACGGCTGGGCCAAGCCGGAGCCAGGAGTCCGGTACTTCATCCGGGTCTCCCATGTGGGTGCAGGGGCCCGAGCCCTTGGGCCATCTCCGCTGCTTTCCCAGGCCACAGCAGAGAGCTGGATCAGAAGTGGCACAGACAAGACTCAAACTGGCGCCCATATGGGACGCGGACGCTGCAGGCTGCGGGTTTACCCACCACTCGCCCACAGCATTGGCCCAAGTTACTGAGTAATGGAAAAACAGGGAGCAGAGGCTGAGGCCCCGCTTGGGAAGCCCATGTCCCACATCAGAGTGCCTGGGGGGAATTCCGCCTGGGCTTCCGATCCAGCACCTGGGAGGCAGCAGATGATGGCCCAAGTGCATGAGTTCCCGCAACCCACATGGGAGACCCAGAAGGAGCTCGTGGCTCCTGGCTGCGTGGGCATTAGGGAGAGAACCAGAGAACAGAAGATCTCTCTCTCTGTTGCTCACTGCCTTTCAAATAAATAAACTTTAAAAAAGAAACAGAAAAATAAAACTGAAGCGAATCGCTCTGAAGTCTGGACGGCAGTGTTGATGTTTTAGTACCGTGTTTCCTACCTGTTCCTCCAAGTGCGAACTCCTTCTGAGGAAGCTAACAAAGGCTCCTGAGCACGCAGGCACCTGTGACGGACCCCTGCCCTGCTGTCTAGGTTAATCCTCACTCTCCACAGGCACACTGCAGGGCAAGCGTGCGGCAAGGCTGCAGCCCCGCACACCTCCTAGTCCTGCTTCCGGACAGTGCCCATCCTGGGAGGCAGCCAGGGACGGCTGAGGGCCACGTGGGAGACCCCGGCTGAGCCCCCAGCTCCCGTTTCTGTCTGGCCCATCCTTGGTTATGGTGGGCGCCGGGGAGAGAAACAGCAGATGGAAGACGGACAGCCTGCTCTCTGGCTCTGCCTTTCAAACAATAAAAATGCCAGGAAGCGTTTTAAAAGGGGAGACCGCGACGTCCCCCTCTGATGGAAGAGGCAGAGGTAACTGGCTCAAGCAGCAGCAGAGGCAGGGCGGGTGTTTCCCACAGCAGTTAGGACCCCACTGGGACACGTGCCATCCCTCCAGTGCGCCTGCGTTCGAATGCCAGTTCTGCCCGTTCCAGCTCCCTGGTAACGCACACCCTGGGAGGTGGCAGGTGATGGCTCAGGTACCTGGGTCCCTGCCACCCATGAGCAAACCTCAGAGTGAGGCCCCAGCTCCTGGCTTCAGCTCAGCCCAGCCGGGCTCTGGCTATTGGTGGCATCTGGGGAGTGAACTAGCAGATGGGAGATCATTGTCTCTACCTTTCAAACAAAGACGAGAACAGATTCAAGTTTCTACAAAAACATTTATATACACTAATTAAAAAAAAAAAGGTGGGGGGAGGTGGGCAGAGAACCAAGGTGGCTGGGGTGGGGGGTGGCTGAGGAAAGCCCAGACACGCAGTCCAGGGCAGACAGGCGTGGTGTCGACCGGAGGCAGAGCGCCGGACATCCACAACGGCGCTTTCAATGCGGTCCCACCTGAGACCGGCGCGTGGCGTTCTGCTGGGACCCTAACACACCTGGTCTTCAACCGCGGCCAAGGCCTGAGTAGGTCTCCAAAGCTCCCCAGCTTCTTCTAAGGGCATCTGAGTTGGAAACCTTGAGTGACAGTTCTTCTCTACCTGTAACCTCACTAAGCAGCCAACTACAGTCAAGTTCACTGCTCGCCCACGGGGTGCTCAGCCTTCCTTCTCCTTAGACGGGAACAAACATTACAACCACACCTGCACCTTACTAAACAAAATCCTGCCGACTTTTTAAACGTTTGTTTATTTGAGAGGCAGAGAGAGAGAGAGAGAGAGAGAGAGAGAGACCTTCCATCCACTGGCTCACTCCCTGAATGGCCTCAATGGCGGGAGGAGGGCGAGGCGGAGCCCAGGGACCTGGAAGTCTATCCAGGTCTCCCAGGCGGGTGGGTCATCCTCTGCCGCTTTCCCAGGCTGGGAGCTGCGGGGGAGAGGCAGCTGGGACTCCCCTGCACTCGGGCAGGAGACCCTGCTGTGCCACACACCTGCAGGAACGCGTGGGCAGCCTGGGAATCCCTGTCGCAGCACTCCTACACTCTTGGGTTCAGGACAGTGCGAAAGGCCCTAGGAGTCAAACTAGACCACAGGTTCCGAGCTTGACAGCCAGCGATGGCCGCTGCTGCTTCACCTCGGCGAGATCCGACGGCATCCCCACCTGGGCGGGTGACGACAGTGAAACCCGCGGGGACAGCGCCACCCGCGTCACCTGGACCTAACCCGCCAGGTGCTCCAGGATCCAGCGCCTTACTCAGCTGCCCGGCGCTCGGCAACGTGGCTGCGGGCTCAGGCGTGGAGAAGCGCGGGCTCCTAAGTCCTCCAGGGCACGGCCCACGCACCTTCCAGCCGGACACAGGGAGGCTGCTGCGGGCCGTCTCGCCCCGGTCAGGGGCAGCCGCTCCCTGACCTCCCCGACAGAGCGGGCCGCTCCAAGTTGCACCAAACTCCCGACTTCCTGCTTCCGGCTGGCGCAGGATTCGGTTCCAGGCTCCACATTCCCTTATCAGCCACGACCTTTCGGAAAGCCCTCTCGTTCCGGACTTGCAGCGTCGACGGCAGCGCTCACGGGACTCAGCAAACGCAGACCCCGGCGCGGGGTGCACGCCCCGGGGGCCAGGAACTCTCGGCTCGCCCGCACCGGGTGACCCCGCGCAGATGCCCGCAAAGTGCATCGCGAACACGCGCGATCCTGCTGCTCTTCGCTGGGTACTCCGACATCCGACACGACGCCGGCCGGGCGCGGGTGCGACACGCACACGCGCAGCGCGGACCCCGGGGTCTCCCAGGGCCCGCACCCGGCCTCCGGCCGTGTCACCGGGCGCGCAGGCTCCCAGGCACCCAGGCACCCGCACTTCCTCCCCGAGGCGCAGGCCCCCACCCACCCCCGCCCCGACCCCGAGAACAGCCTCGCCTGCGGGGACCCCGCACCTGGCCCAGGCCTCTCGGCGGGGCCTGCGGGCACGGAGGGCAGCGCCCGGCCCCGCTCCTCGCCCTCGGCCGGCCCACACCCGGCCAGCCCTCACTTCCTGGTCGCGCGCCCCTCCCCGGGCCCCGGGCCGGCCGCGCCGCCCCCTCGGGCCTTACACGGTGACGTGACCGGAGCCGCGGACCACCACCGGGTCCGGCGAGTACTTGAGCAGCTGCTCCTCCAGGGCCCGCTCCTCGTCCTCCTCCTCCTCGTAGATCTCGTCGAAATCCGCCATCCTGCGCTTCCGCGCCCCCCGCCCAGGGGGGCCTGACTCCGGGGCCGGCGCCCGCTGCGGGCGGCCCGGCGGTGGGGGCTGAGGGGAGTCGCCGCCGCCGCCGCCGCCGCCGGCCCAGAGGCCGCGGAGTTCGCGCCCGGCTGTGTCCGCGCCGGCTACACACGGGAAGGGGTCCGGGCCGCCGCCGCCATTACCGTCCGCAGCAACAACAACACAGTGTCAACATCCGCCCGGCCGCCGCCACCTCCACCGGCGCCGCCGCCGCAACTCAGGCAACCACAGCAACAGCCCGAGCCGCCCGCAGCGGGAGCAGCCGGCCGCGCATCGCGAGACTTCCCGGGAGCGCGGGCGTGGGCCGGCGCGCGCGCTCTCGGCCGCCGCCCTCCGCGCCGCGCCGTGGGCCGCGCGCTCCCGCCGGCGCGGCCCCGCCGGCGCGGCCCCGCCCTCGGCCCGTGGGGCGCGGGAGCCGCCGAGCGTGGGGCCGGCGCGGCGAAGCACTCGGGCCTCGCGCCCGCTCGTCGTCGACGGCGAGACCCGCGCTGGGCCCCTTCCGCGCGTGACGAGGGGAGCGGTTTTTTGTGATGCGTGGCGCGGACGAGCGCTTCCGTCCACTTCGCCACGGGTTTTGCCGGAACACAGCCCCGGCCCTTTGTCCTCCGGCGTGGTCCAGTCCGTGAGGCGGACGACTGCCGATGGGTTTCTCACAAGAAATCTCGGCGTCGTGGTGCCCGGAAACAAAACAGGATTCAAAAAGGCAGCCCCTGCGCCCCTCCCCAGCCAGAGCGGACCCCGGGGGAGCCCCGCTGCCAGAGGGTCCTGGCCGGAGGGCCGAGGGCGGGGGCGCTGCGGCCGAGGGTGCCTGTGTCCCCTGTCCACTCCCAGCCAGCAGGGTGGGCTCCTGAGGAGGGGCCAGGCAGTGGGGGGAAGGGGTCGTGCTGGGTTCAGGGCTGGGTCCTGGCCGGAGAGCCGAGGGTCCCTGTGTCCCCTGTCCACTCCCGGCCGGCCCGGGGCAGGTGAGCTCCTGAGGAGGGGCCAGGCAGTGGGGGGAAGGGGTCGTGCTGGGTTCATTGCCGGGTCCTGGCCCACGTGCAGGGCCGTGCGGTCGGCCAGAAGCGCCCAGCCGGCTCCTTTGGGCAGTGATGGAGGGCACGGCCCGGCTGGCCCAAGACCCCGGGTGTGCCCAGTGCCGGGCTGTGTGAATGACAGCGCCCCTCCTGCCAGCAGCTCACGGTTAAGGCAAGCAGGCATCCTGGCCAGCCCAGTGCTGGCACCCAGGAGGTCCCTCGGGAATCTGGAGTGGGGGTTCCGGGGCCTGGCTTTGAGTCTCAGCCTGGGGGGCCCTGGCCGAGCCACTCAGGCGCTCTGTTCTCAGGGTGTGTGTCCACTGGGCTGCTGGCATACTCAGTTCCTGGCTTAGCACACAGGAAGCTCTCGGATGAGGGCACGCAGTGGATACGGGGTGAGGGCACTGCTTTGTCAGGCCGCACCCAGCTCAGCGGCTCTGCCAGTCACTGTCTGCACTATGAGGCTGTCAGTGTTTATAGAGTGTGAGTGTGTGTGTGTGTGTGTGTGTAATATATATAGATAGATTCCGTCCCCCCCCCCCAAGAACCCTGTAAGGGAAGCGAGGAGGGTGGGCGTGCTCCTCGCTTTCTGGAATACCTGGGATACCTTTCATGGCCACCTGACACTGCGTGGTCTCACTCCAGCTGCGCCAGCACCACGCCGCATACTCCAACTCAGACACCTGCATTTCCCTCTTGGCAGGAGCCGGGGAGCCAGTGACCACACCCAGTCCCCGCAGCTGAAGGCCAGGGGTGAGAAGGGGAACCAGAAGGAAGGTCAGCCCGTGCCCGGCCCCACCAGGGCTGGGAACTCCTTCCTGCAGTGCCCCGAGGACCCCCAGCCGCAGAGTGGACGACCCGAGGACGGGGGAGCCATGCCCCCGGCTCCTGCCTCCGAGAGGGAGCTCCGTACAAGCTACCCGCGTGGGAATGCAGTTACTGGTGCTGTTTCCAGAACAGCAGGTAACCAGCCTGCACACGACCCTGAGAGCCGCATCCTGTGGGAGAAGGTTCCTGTTCAAAGATCCCAAGAGAGGCCTTTGTGACTCCCACTGCCTCGAGAAAGGTGGGGGCTGCGTGGTGGTTTCTGCATTTTTCCTGACCTGAGAACCTGTCAGAGGCAGCGAAAGGGTGTGGGGCCTGCATGTAAGGCCCAGAGGGTGCGTGAGGATGAGTCAGTGCCAGGGGGAGGCTGACCTCAGCATTCCAGACTCCACCCCCGACCCTGCAGGGCCTGGCTGATCTCTGGGTGAGCCACCCCATGCCCTGGCTGTGGCCCGCTCCTCCCCTGTGCCCACTCACCCCCTTCCCTGCCTCACACACTCCATCTGCCTTTCGACCAGCGGGCTTCCAGCCCAACAGGATGGCGCCTCAGGAGGGCGCAAGTCTTCGGCTCCCTGTAAGGCAAGGGCTGCAACAGTAGAACCCTCCAATTCCTGTCCCTTCCCAGCTCGGTGATCTTGGCAAGACTAACCTTTTTTTAACGTTGATTTTAAGATTTTATCTATTTGAAAGTTACAGAGAGCTCCATCTTCCATCTGCTGGTTCACACCCCATAAGGCCGCCAACGACCAGCCCTGGGCCAGGGCAAAGCCAGGAGCCAGGAGCTTCATCCAGGCCTCCCATGAGGGTGGCAGTGGGCCATCTTCCACTGCCTTCCCAGCCCATTGGCAAGGCTGGATCAGTGTGGAACACCTGGGCACAAACCAGTGCCCATACTGGAAGCTGGTGTCAGACTTAACCCACCGCCACACACCAGCCCTGAGACTCAATTTTCTAAGCTTTGTTGTTTTGTTTTTTCATCCTACAGCGAAAACTATGTCATGGGGTATCACGCATCAAATGAGATCATGAAACTGTTGTCCCTTTAATCCAGTCTCCCCTTGACGCTCCCAAAACTCTAAAGACCCCTGCCACATTTCCTGTTCCTCCCCTCGAGAAACCTCCCCGCTCTGTTCTTTAACAGCACCACGTTTCAGCCATGGAAGGTTATCAAACCACTGTTTCCTAAGTGTTTCTATAGGCTCCTCAGTAAGGTGGCCTAAATCGGTGTCAATCACATTAAGACATCAACTGAGCCACACTTGCACAAAAAGGAGGCCTGTGACCTGCACATGACACCTAGAACCAACAGAACCAAAAACTGGAGAATGAGCAGAAGCAGAGAAACTGGACAGCTTGAGGAAGCTAGACACCGAAGATCAAACGTCTGCTGACCAGAGGCTGACGTCGCACTGTGGGTTAAGCCGCCACCTGTGACGCCTGCATCCCAGATGAACACTGGTTCGGATCCCAGCTGCTCCACTTCTGATCCAGCTTCCTGCTAATGCACCTGGGGAAGCAGTGGAAGACAGCTCAAGTGCTTGGGCCCTGCATCCACCTGGGCGACCTGGAAGAAGCTCCTGGCTCCTGGCTTCAGCCTGGCACAGCCTGGGCCATTGCAGACAGTTGGGGAGTGAACCAGCAGATGGAAGATGTCTCTCTCCCTTTCTCTTTGTAACTCTCTCAAAATAAAGAAGTAAATCTTTAAAAGACAAAGTGCACATGTAATGGTGTCGCTGCATGGCCTTCCATCCTCGCCTCCCTCACTTCCGTGATAAATGTCAGGTTTCTTGCAAGCGGCAACCTGTGCTCCACCTCAGCTCGGGCTCTGCCTCCCTGACCGTGACCTGACCCCCCTGGCTTTGATGTGTACCTCCCTTGGACCTGCTCTTTCTGGCCTCATGGCCTCTCAACGTGCCATCCCCACTGCCTGGCTCTTTCCCCTCTTCATTTTCTACTTCCGCACGTCCATCACTTGGCCTGGCTCATCAGCTTACCTATCATCTCCCCGGACGAGAACCCTGACGGCCCCAGGAACTTAGGCCTGGTACCTCTCTCCAGGCCCCGGCACTCCTCCAGTTCTACTAGTTATGTTTGTAATCACCAGTTGGCCCTCATCACGGACTTCATGCTCCGGGAAGGCATGGACTGTGTTTTGCAGCCTCGCTGACGACCCCCTAGTTCCTGACACGATGTGCAGCACGTGGGAATCATTCCTTGGATATCTGTTTAACGCGTGAATGACGGACGAATGAGGGTGGCTATGCTGACTTGTTCAGCTTGGGCTGCCGCAACAAATTACCATAGCCTGCGGTGTCTGGTGTGGGCCAACTCACAGGTGCCAACTCTCACTGTGTCCTCACACGGTCTCTCTGGGCTGCTTTTGTAAGGGCACTAATCCCATCTGCAAGGGCTCTGCTCTCATGACCTGACGACCTTGCAAAGTCCTTGCCTCAAGATTTCACCAGGCCAATTCCTGGGGACACAGATACTTCGTCTATTGTAAAACAGATGACTTAAACAGAAATGTATTTCTCCCAGCTCTGGAGGCCAAGAAGTCCCGGATTAGGGTGCTAGCTGACTCGGTTGCTGGAGAGAGCTGCCTCCCTGGCTTGCAGGTAGCCATCTTCTGGCTGTGTGCTCAGGTGGCCGGAAGGCAGAAGGTGCAGGGAGAGTGAGCTCCCCGGGGAGTCTGCTTGCAGCGGGGCTGGGAAATGTCTGGCCCGTGGGCCATATAAGCCTCGTGAAATCATTGGTCTGGCCCTGCCAAGGCAACTGCAGGCAGGACTTGAAATTAATAAATCTGCAGCAGGATAGTTTTTAAAAAAGTTTACATGAAAGGCAGAGTTACAAAGAGAGAGAGAGAGAGAGAGATCTTCTATTTGCTGGTTCATTCCCCAAATGGCTGCCATTGCCGGGCTTGGGACAGGTCAAAGCCAGAAGTCAGGAATTCCAATTCCATTTGGGTCTCCCACGTGGGTGCAGGGGTTCAAGCACTTGGGCCATCTTCCACTGCTTCCCAGGCTCATTAGCAGGGAGCTGGATCAGAAGTAGGGTAGCTGGGACCCAAACCAAAGCCCATATGGGATGCCAGCACTGCAGGCGGCGGCGTAACCTACTGCGCCACAATGCCGCAACCTGAAAACAGAGAAAGATCTTCCATCCACTTGTTCCCTGATAAATAGCCAAAAAGGCTAGCACTGGGCCAGATGGAAGCCAGGTGCCAGGAACCCAACCCAGCTGGGCTCCCACGTGGGTGGCAGAGACCCAAGCACTTGGGCCATCGCCAGCTTCCTTCCCAGGCACATTAGCAGGGAGCTGGATTAGAAGCAGGCACATTAGCAGGGAACTGGATCAGAAGTGAAGCAGCGGGGGCTTGAACCAGCGCTCCAGCAGGGGACGGCAGAGTCTCAGGTGGCAGCCTCGCCTGCTGCGCCACACCGGCCCCTCGCTGTGCATTTCAAATCCCCAAATGGG